ATTCATGATCAGCAGCAAGTTTTTCATGGCACTTAATTCGGGTTGACCAGCATCAAATTTTGTTACGGAACACCCGAATGAAGCTGTTCTAATGATTTGGAATTTCAAAATTTATGTCAACCTTGAGGACACAAAGAACATTTCGACGGTGATTGCATCACGAAGAAAAATAGTCACGAAAACGAAAACGGGAAAATGCGCATTATTTCAAACTTGGATAACTGAAGATAAAATATACGGCTCCGCATTTTCAAATTCTCTTGTTTCACACGAAATTAAACACCACGGAATTCTCTCGACCTATTGGATCCATCTAAGTGAAAACTGAAGCTTATTTCACCATATCACAGAGGTCTTAATAAAAGAATACCGTATTCACTCGAATACCACGCCCATCCAAGTTTTCCATTCTAAAATTGTGATTAAATTGTAGATTCAAGTAACTCATGCATTCCACTTTCTGGTGACTCTACAACGGGCAACATTTCAAAAACAAGAACAATAAAATTTGAATTTAGACATAAATTGGACCCGAATTTCACTAATTTAGAATTGTTACCACGAAAATAAGTTTTTCTGATAAAATTTGTTCAAATTTTCCATTAGAATCAAGTATAATGCAGACGTAAACTTTTAAAAATTTCTGGAAAATGTATGCCCTTTTTTCCTCTCAATTTTGAGAGAAAAATAGGTACGCGTGATACTCAAGCAAAAACGCTATTTTCTTAAAACTCAACGTCAATTTCGTGGACACTCAGTAAACTGATATGATACAGAAGATGAAATCATTTTAAACCTGGATAACAACGGCAGTGGACGCCTTTAGACTTCGGACAGCGACGAATTTATCTCTCGGCGGACAAAGCCAGCCAATCATTCTCCCAAACGTCATCCACAGCACGACGGCAGTGTCGGTCCGATCCGTAAGATGCGTCAACAATTCGAAAGCTAAACGCATCTCGGCCCGTTTGTCCTCATCCGAGGATTTCCTGGCGTCGAAATATTGCACAAGTTCCACAATATCTGCGCCCACGTTGTCTGCAATTGTGGCATCAACTTCCTCGTCTCGTGTCTCCTGAGCAAGAATTATGAGAGCCCGCATGAAGGCGGATACCAACGTCTAAGGGGTCGTCGACGAAGAAGCAGTACATCTTGAAAAAGGTAATGATTGACTGACGCACTTTTGAGCTTGAATCGTCTGAGAAAAAAATATCCACTTCAATTTATTATCATAACAAACAACAAAATTCGAACACCATCACAATCGTTACAGTTTCTCACGTCACAAAGGTGCGTCAAGATATAATTTTTTATATATTTTAGGCTTGGCATTTTTGTATTAAACCATTTTAAAAATTGACATGACCACTTACAAGTAGGTTTAATAGCCTTGCTGGTTTATATTTTTTACGGATCGAGAAAATAATGTTACTCGAAGATTTGAATCGCTTTGTACACAACTTGAAAAGGTGGTCGAATCAAATTTTTGAAGAATTTTCATAGAAACAATTGGAACAGAGATTGAGCGAGTGTATGTTCTTGTATTGAATGAGTTTAGCATTTTACTTAATGCTGATCGGGAGCCGAGAAAATTCACAAATCTTACAAAAATGCTTTCATCCAGGAAGATTTAATCAATTTTAACAATGGTATGAAGATTATAAATATAAACTATGAAGTGAGTTCATTCATTACTGTAATCAGAATTTTTTCCGGACTTGGCGCGGACACCAGAAACCCTCAAAAAGTATTTTCACCCTTCGTCTTGCTGACATTTTTTTT